ACATAATGATTTCACTTTTAATTAAATTAATTTTTAATTTCTAGCTACTGATATTTTTTCTGGCAGTATTCTCTTTTTTTTTTTTTTTTTTTTTTGAGGTGGAGTCTCACTCTTTCTCTCAGGCTGGAGTGCAGTGGCGTGATCTCAGCTCACTGCAACCTCAGCCTACTGAGTAGCTAGGATTACAGGCGTGTGCCACCAAACACGGCTAATTTTTGTATTTTTAGTAGAGATGGGGTTTCATCATGTTGGCCAGGCTGGTCTCCAACACCTGACCTCGGGTGATCTGCCCACCTCGGTCTCCCAAAGTGCTGGGATTACACACGTGAGCCACCACACCTGGCCATATTCTTCTCTTTCTATAATTCTTTAGAATATTTAAACTAAATGTGACATTTTAAAAATCACAGTCATGTATCAGCATCTATTTCTGTTCAGTTTCCAGAAAAAGCACATATATGAGAAATCAAATGATAATAAATACCTCCGCCAAATGTGTCCATACATTGTTTATCCCCACTCATACAAACTCCATCTATACAGAGCCATTGATTCGGTCCACACGGATGCCCAGTCTGAATAAAGTGGTTTTCTGGACATGACGCAGATGTTCCATTGCAATATTCAGGGAGGTCGCATTCATCAAAGGAAGGCCTACATACTCTTTCTTGTGACATAAACTGAAGGGATGAGGTAAATGATATTGAATTAAGCAGAATGAGAATACATAAGCATAATAATGATAACTACTTATGTAGGTAATACTGAAATTGTTCAAAAAGCTCTTACTAGACAATTTTCACAGCATGGTCCTTCAGCACAATTTGAACCGGCTTTAAATCTACATGTGGCAGTATCACAGCATTTGGCTCCAAGAAGGAAACAATTCTGTAAGGCAAATCAAATGATCTGGAGTATTTTCCAACTTGTATTCATATTATAGACATGTTCATAATGACAACATATTATATAACATACACATAGATGCTTAACTTACATGTTTGCAAACAGAAAAATAAAACCACTTACTCATTTACTTAAGAGACATTTATTAATTACCTACTAATTGTCAGACCATGTGTTGCTCATATTGCTTAGAATAGGTTTGGTTACACTGATAAAAGGATTCTCTGAAGCCCTGGGGTCCACCATAGTCAAGTCATTGAGAAGAACTGGCTCTTGTAGATAGAGATAGTTAAATACAAGACGTAAAATAAACAGAAGTTATACTTTAAAAATTCTATTGTAGTGACTACTTATTAGAGCCTTCTGAATCTAACATTTTAACAAGTTTCTGCATTTTGTGGTATATTGTTGATTTATTTCATTTTTAATTCTCTAAGTTCTGGAAAAATGATATTATTTCCGAGAATGATGAAGTTGTCACCTTTATATCATTCACTCATATCTTATTATGCCTTGTTTTATGCTTTAGTTCATCTACGCCCAGTGAATATGCTTTTAAAACTTCTATTACTAAAGTTAGTAAAAGCAATAGATAAGAAGGCTAAAAGACAATGCATTCTCTCTCTCTCTCACACACACACACACACACACACTCTCTCTCTCTCTCTCTCACACACACACACACATTTTTTAAATACCCAGAAATTTAAAATAGGATAAACTGGAAAAAGAAATTTGATAAATCACACAAAAATAAATCATGGATTTAGTAGTCTTCATATGAGTTATAGCAAGATACTTACTCAAAGCACAGAGTAGTCAGTATTTTTCACAGCTATTCTGTCTAAGAATTGTCACTGTCATTGCTATCTACTGTAATTCTAGAGGAGAAAGTTATATCTTAGTGATTTAAGCCTCAATTATATAACATTTAGAGAGCTTAGATACATGACTGTCAAATTGAAGAAGAAAGTTTCAAGATGTTTCCATTCAAACCCAACCAAGCAAAAACAAGTGGGTGATGAGGAACAATTTTTTTAAAAACATATCACATATCTCAGGATCTGTAAACATACCTTTCTGGTTGGAGGGCTACATGAGTGACTACTGTAGGGCACAATGAAGTCTACTTAGTCTTTGTGATCCTTTTGAGCCTGTACCATTCGCTGTGAGTTTCAGTATCTCCTCCCCCTCATTTCATTCCCTTTATCTCTGCTCTCCTCACCTCCCTTCAACCCAGGCGCTTTCTCTAAGATTTCTGTGGTTTGGGAAAACTAGCTGTTCTTAATTATGTATGTTACAAATCTTTTTGACTTAAATATTGACCCGGATTAAAATATTCAAAAGCCACAAATGTGCTCCCTAGGTTTTCTTGCTCCATAGTGAAAGCTTTAAAATATCTCTTTATGAACAACAAAGGAATTTAGGTTAAATACTAGGTTTAAATTTTAGGCTTAAAAAACTAGGAAAGTCTATACTGAAGAGGAAGAGATTGAACCTACATCAACTCAGTTGTGAAATTAGCGGCCTTGAACATTTCTTACATGAGAGATTAGAATGGTGCTTACCAGGGACTTCAGGGAGGGGAAAACAGGGAGATGACGGTCAAGGGGTATAAAGTTTCAATTCTGCAAGATGAACACGTTCTGGAGGTCAAACATGACTACAGTTAACAATATTGTATCATATACTTGAACTTTGCTAAGAAGGTAGGTTCTGAGTGTTCTCACCAGAAAGGAAAATTTTTAAAAAACAAAACAAAAGGAAAAAATAAAATGCTATGGTGAGATTACAGATATGTTAGCTACCTAGATTTTAGTGGGCATTTCAAAATGTACTCATATACTCAATCATCAAGTTATATAACTTAAATATATACAATTTTAAATTGTCAGCTATACCTCAAGAAAGCTGGAATAAATAAAGGAAAATTACTTGTATATTCATACAAATCCACGTAGATCTACAAAGCACTGAACCACTATACCAATATATATAAGTGCACTCATTAGTTATTATAACACCTACACAGCCTCCTGAATCGTTTGCAGAAAATGTAACTTGATAAATTAAGGAAAATGGCAGTTTCACACTTGAATTAATAAGTAATTTTTGCTGCAATTTCAGTTCATAGCCTCCCAAATTAGTACCAACCTGTTGGGTCCCACAGTCACACTCCTCTCCTGCTTCCAGCTTTGCATTACCACACACGGCTTGCTGTTTGAAAAAAGGATCTAATCGAGGCTGATTGTGAAGACACTGGGACTTCTGTTTTGAAATAAAATGTGCAAAGTCTTCGATGCTGCAGTTACTAAAGATCTTCACACCACTGAAATGACTAAAGACACATCAAACTTCAAATTTTAATGTAAGGGTTTCCATAAACTACCTACCCTTAGAATAAACCTATATAATAGCATTCCACAACAGACCAAATTCCCAAGTCTGTGAGTGTCAAAGCTTTCCATCTCTGGGCATGAGGAGTCAACTGTGCAAGCAGTAAATCTTTTAGTGGAAGTAAATGACTAATCCATAAAGTTTTAATGGCTCTCCGATGACACTTATTCATGACACTGCTCTCTCTTGTTTAAGCTCCTATTTTCCAAAGTGCCCCAATTGCTGTTTCATTTGTGCTCTTTCTTTTTATAACTTCTAAGTGCTGGGACACCCCTGCATTAATAAAGAAAACAAGATTTTTTTTTTTTTTTTTTTTTTTTTTTTGAGACGGAGTCTTGCTCTGTCACCCAGGCTGGAGTGCAATGGCACGATCTCCGCTCACTGCAACCTCCATCTCCCCAGTTCAAGCAATTCTCCTGCCTCAGCCTCCTGAATAACTGGGATTAGAGGCGCAAGTCACTATGCCCTACTATTTTTTGTATTTTTTTTTTAGAAGAGATGGGGTTTCACCATGTTGGTTAGGTTGGTCTAGAACTCCTGACCTCGTGATCTGCCCACCTAGGTCTCCCGAAGTGCTGGGATTACAGGCATGAGCCAAGGTGCCCGGCCCAGGCTTTTCTTTTTTTAAGAAATCTATATTTATTCATAGGTTATTGTATCTATGTCTATAGTTGCAAATAGCATCTATGCCCAATAGCTCTAATACTTGTTTCTCTAGCGTTATCACCTGAACTCCAGTCCAGAGTCTGATGCTTTATTCAGTGTTTCTTCTTAAGTGTATTTTATTGGCACCTTAAATATAAATTCCCTATACTCTTGATTCTTCTCCCCAAAACCACCCCTCACAAAGTATAACACAGTGTTTCAGAATGTGGACTCTGTGGTCCATCAAAACAAATGAGTTAAAAATCTTGGTTTTGCCATTTACAGGTTGTTTGTCCTTGTAAAAGATTTTAAAATTATATGCATTTTAGTGTCCTCCTTTCAACATGAAGATAAATGTATTATTTATCTCATAAAGTTGTGAGAGTATTATACACGTAAAGTACTAAAAACTGTGCCTATGCATAGTTTGTACTCCTAATATTTTAAAATTCACTACAGGGAAACTCCAACCACCTAGTTGCTCAGGACAGAAACCTTGAGGTTATCTTATATTTCTCACAAACTCCTTATCTGCCAAGAAATTTTGTCAAATCTGTCTACTCTCTATATATTCAATACGTGTTCCCCATAACAACTACCTACTCACAGACTTTCCTGTCTCTCTCATCAGAGGTCCTTCTCCTCATCAACCTCAACTCACTCTGCTCAAATAGGTGGATCTCTTACTGTCCCCTCCATCAAATATTCAACTATTTCCTCTGCCTGGAAAATGATTCCTTAGTATCCATGCATGGTTCCCTTTCATTCATTTCACATGTCTCTACAACATTTACGCAAACAGATATTTCCAAGCACACTTTAAAAATACCACTTCCTTACTACCCTTTATTCCCCTTACTGACATTTGTTTTACTTCAGAATGTTTACCAAAAACTGAATGTTACTAATTCAATCATTCAATAACTATCTTCTGCTAGTTCTTTTAAAGGTGTGTACTATTGAAGTCACTTGCTATAAATAATAGATTAAGTTTAATTTTGTTATAATTTTGATTATTCTAAGTAGTATTAACAATGTTTAAAAAGATTATAATCACAAGGATCTATATTTTGATCCTTGAACTTATGGCTCATCTTAAGTCAATCAATTGACTTCTATATATGTTCACTCATTTATTAAAAACTGAGAAATTTAGGCATTGTACAATGAAGTCATGCATTCAACTAACAACCAGAGGCTCCATTATCAAGAAAAAAATGAGAGAATAGAGAATGAAAACATCCAGCAAATCTCTATAAAGAGATTTATACATTTAACAATGTTAAAAGGAATGTGATGAGTTTTAAGGTAATAAACTTGATGGTATCAAACTCCAGTCATTTGGATTTTCAAGGGAAAATGTTATTCACATGAAGACCTCGAATAAATTTAGAATTTTTGAACAAACTAACAGTGTTAGTATGACGTGTTTTGTGATCACAACCTGGTTGAACATTCCCCTCAGTTCCATCAACCTTAAATAATGGAGTTATTATAAATTGCCAAGAATTCAATGATTACTATCTAAATACAAGAAACCATATAGAAAAAAAAAACTGATAGAAATTTAATATTACTGAGACCCAGGCAACGGAAGATATGTTTACCATGTGTGAACTGGTTTATAGAATATACACTTTCTGGTAATAAAATTAACATTGTCATTAGAAAGTAAAATATCAAGCAGAATTGCATCTGATTAGAGTACTTGTTTTGCAGCTTGAATCTTTATAGAGATTTGCTGGATGTTTTTATTCTCTATTCTCTCATTTTTTTTCTTGATAATGGAGCCTCTGGTTGTTAGTTGAATGCATGACTTCATTGTACAATGCCTAAATTTCTCAGTTTTTAATAAATGAGTGAACATATATAGAAGTCAATTGATTGACCTAAGACGAGCCATAAGTTCAAGTTCTAGGAGGTAATGAGATAGACATGTTTTTGTAAGCTCCTTTATCCTATTGGTCACCTTAAATTTGATTAATTGTTGTAATAAAAACTTCCATTAGGGATATGAGATTATTTTGGGAATGGAAGCCACTGTGTAGAAATACAGCATGAAATTATACTGTGAAATATCACACAATTAATAGAATGGTAATTTCTCAAAATAAACTTTTCTTTGATTGTAGCTATTATTCCTTTGTGTTTTCTGTAACTTGCAGCAAAATCTAAATGCAAATTTAATGCCAATGTAGATTTCAATCAAAATATTTGTTTATCAACCACATTTCAACCATTCATTTTCTCACTATAAAATTACAAAGTATTTGCAAAAGAATGAAATATTCTAGTGACAATACAATAGAAAATAAAAGTATGGAGCATCTTTTTCCTTAATTCATAATCAAAACATCAAAACATGTGTCTAATATTTTGTATTTCTAAAAAGGAAGTACCATTCACTAGGAACAACATTAATATAACCTATATTTAATTATAATTTTGAAGGAATTACTACAGGCATCTTAATTACTAACTGAAAACAGAAAAATAACACCTCAACACATTCTCTCACATTCTGTTATACATGATGGAAAGAATCAATTTGAAAAAATGAAAAACAAAGAAAGACAAAAATAAAAACAATTATTAAATAAGTCTCATGAAATGCAAAAGATAGACACCTAGAAAGTATATTTTTGGACCACAGCAGATATTAAATCAGATAACAAAAAGATATTTAGGAAATCCACAAATATTTGAAAATCAACTAACCTACATCTAAAATAGCAAACAAAGAAGAAACAACAAAAACTTGAAAATATTTCAACTAACTGGAAATGAAACACAAAATATTAAAAATGTGTAGTGTGTAATTGAAGGTCAAGTTCTAGGAACTTGTGATTAGAAATGCAGAGCTTTAAAGGGTTTGCACAAAAAGAAGGGAGGTTTAAAATCAGTTATTTGAATTTTACATTAAAAATTTAGAAAAAAGGATGAAAAAATTTACCACAAACTAAGTAGAAATAAAGGAGAACAAAGTAGATAGGCCATGGGAAAGAGTCAATGTGATTAAAATATGGTTCTTTGAAAAAAATTAATTAATTTGATAAAATCTAAGTTACAGTGATTATAAAAAGAAAGAAACTCAAATGATCAGTATCTGAGATAAAAGAGGGCATATCACAAATTATCCCATTGACTTTTAGAGGAAAATAAATGAAGACTCTAAAAATTTTTATGAAAAATTAATCAATTTTGAGGAAACAAATCATTTATTAGAAGAAGAAAATTAAGATGGCCGAATAGGAACAGCTCTAGTCTCCAACTCCCAGTGCAAGCTTCACAGAAGACAGGTGATTTCTGCGTTTTCAACTGAGGTACTGGGTTCATCTCACTAGGGAGTGCAGGACAATCGGTGCTGGTCAGCTGCTGCAGCCCTTCCAGCGAGAGCTGAAGGAGGGCCAGGCATCGCCTCACATGGGAAGCGCAAGGGGGAAGGGAATCCCCTTTCCTAGCCAGGGGAACTGAGACACACAACACCTGGAAAATCGGGTAACTCCCACCCCAATACTGCAATTTACCAAGGATCTTAGGAAACAGGCACACCAGGAGATTATATCCCACACCTGGCCGGGAGGGTCCCATGCCCACGCAGCCTGCCTCATTACCAGCACAGCAGTCTGCGATCTACCGGCAAGGCAGCAGCCAGGCTAGGGGAGGGGCGCCCGCCATTGCTGAGGCTTAAGTAGGTAAACAAAGCGGCTGGGAAGCTCCAACTAGGTGGAGCTCACAGCAACTCAAGGAGTCCTGCCTGTCTCTGTAGACTCCACCTCTGGGGACAGGGCATAGCTAAACAACAACAACAACAACAAAAACAAAAAGCAGCTGAAACCTCTGCAGACGCAAACGACTCTTTCTGACAGCTTTGAAGAGAGCAGTGGATCTCCCAACATGGAGGTTGAGATCTGAGAACAGACAGACTGCCTACTCAAGTGGGTTCCTGACCCCTGAGTAGCTTAACTGGGAGACATCCCCCACTAGGGGCAGACTGACACCCCACACCTCACACGGTGGAGTACACCCCTGAGAGGAAGCTTCCAAAGCAAGAATCAGACAGGTACACTTGTTATTCAGCAATATTCTATCTTCTGCAGCCTCTGCTGCTGATACCCAGGCAAACAGGGTC